GAGCAAGTAGATCAGGAGGTAGGAGTGGAGCGAAGGCAGAGAGGGACGCAGCGTTGGAGGCTCTGGGAATTGGTGGGAGCAGGGGAGAGGGGTTGCCATTCAAGGGTGTGAACTTTCATCAGCTAGCTGTTTGTGTTCCAGGCACTCCCTGTACTCATTCTCCAACAGACTCTTGTCATGCAACATAGCAGCATAGCTCACAAACTGTATCATCCCATGATCTCTCTAGGCAACTAACATGTCCCCCTGCATCTCCTGAGAGCCCTTATTGGCACAGTCAGTTTCAGACTAAACTTTATAACTCTTCATCTGAATCTACTCTTGCCCTTCACAATCCATTTTTTTTACATAATGATCAAAATCAGCTTTTTGAAATGCTTATTGGATCATATCCCATTCCTGTGTACAATCTTTACAGATTTCTCATTCGTCTTAGGATGAAGTTCAGAGTCTGAACTTGGATTCACCAGGGTGCCCCTTGCATAAGCTGCTGCCTCCCATCGTCGCCTGGAGCGTGTTTGCTCCTTCTTTAGGTCCTGTTTACATGTTACTTTCTTAGGAGGAGCTTTTCTGCCCTTTAGTCCAGATTTGGTCTCTGACTATAGGCTCTCTTAACTCCCAGATTCCTCTTCAGAGCACTGACCACAATCACTTAGATATTCAGGTATGAATTGTTCAGTGTGTCTCTCTTCAACCTGGCAGTAAAATCCAGAGGCACGTTAACCGCACCTCGCATAGGCCTCTGCCCCTTGGCCATGTGCATGGAATGGTTGCAGAATGAGCCCCTGGGCCGTACCTTTTTACCTTTTGTATTATAAAAGGTCGTTTTCTCCAATTTGAGCAATCATTTATTGAGTTTATACTTTGTGATAGGCAGTGTTTGTTTAGAGAGCAGGGCAAGTCAGCTTCATGGTTAAAAATTAGGGCTCTGAGGCAGAATTCCCTGGGTGTGAGATTTTACTAATCGTGTGATACTGGCACAGTAGTTGTAACTTCTCCATGCCCACTCTCCTCAAAACTATAAAGAAGAGGAGGTAAGGACAACGACAGCATCTGCTTCAGAGGCCACTGCAGTGATGACGCCAGGTGTGGCGGCAGAGTGTTGAGGACAGTGCCTGGCACGTGGCAAGTATGGGAAGACGTTAGTGATTCTTATTCTTTACTCCAAATACCGTGAGAAATAGGTGTGATGCTATTATCCCCACTTGCCAAATGAGGAAACTAGATACGTAAAAGAGTCTTTCTGACAACTTGTTTAAATGAATTCTTCATATCATCTTTTCATGCAAAAAAAAAAAAAAAAGAGCTAAAAAGAAATGAATGTTCTCATGTTTTGAGGGTTGGGACTTGGAAGATATTGGGGTTTGGCAAGATGAAGAGAATAAATCAAAGAAACAAAGAAAGTGTCAAAGCAATTCCAGGCCCAAACCTGGCCATCTTTTCTGCACGTTAAGATAAAGACACTTCGCCTGCCCGTGGAAGCCAGAGGGAGGGAGACCCACTTTCCCCAGAGTCTGGCCGGGAGAAGGGGAGCGATGGAGCCCGACTCAGAGCGGCAGGAACCACATCCCCAGGGTGCAGCCAGAGTGACAAGGTGGCGTCCAGCTCCTCCACAGCCCTCAGGACTCTGCCACCATCTCCAAGGCCACCCCGCGCCCTCACACCAAACCCATCTGAAGTTCTAGAAAGTCCATGTGTGCCATGCACCCCAGGTGGGAGGAGATGGTGCCACAAGGAAGTCAAACAAAAAGGCTGGAGTCACCGGAGTAGACGATCGTCCCGGAGAGCGGTGAGCCTGCGCCAGACCTGAGAAGACATCTGGCAGGAACAGGAGGATCCTGGCAGCCCGCTCCAAACGGCCTCGGGCCACAAACAACCCAAATGCCCGCCTTCGGCAGAGCAGATGCGTAAATATTCTCCGGCCACGAGAGAACCAGCTCCCACTACACTCAATAACAGGAGTGCATCTCACAAATGTAATCCTGAGGCAGGAGACCCAGGACAGAACGTACAATCAGATATCATTTGTTATGTGGATTTAATACCAGGTAATACACATCTAAGCCAGGTGTAGGAGTTAGGACCCTATGACCCCTGAGGGGTGGTAGTAGCTAGAGGGCCACTGGAGAGATTTGTTCTATTTCTATTACTCAGATGTGTTCATTTTGTGAAAGGTCACTGACATGCACACTTGTAGTTTTGTACACTGTGCGGAACCTATGTTATATTTCAGTCCACCCTCGCTCCACCACCTGCTGTGCTCAGGGGTCAACTTAGTCCTGGGTGGACAGATAGCTCTAGAGTTCTGGTTAATCAGAAGCTGGACAAGTACCAAGTAGGATGCTTCAGAAGCGGGAAGCCATTTTGAGTAGAGTTTATGTTTCTGTGGTTCTGAGTCGGGTCACTGGTTTGGTCATACCGTGCAACGTGTGGCCCACCTGCTGGGTCGAGGCGTGGCCACGTTCCATCTCTGCACGTGGTTCCCTCAGTTGCCTGCAGGGCAAACGCCGTCCCTCCACTTGCAGGCACAATCTGAATAAGCCACGAGATAGCTGGAGAGTGAGCGTCCCCAGCTTGAGTGGCCTGCTTAGAAATCTCTCCTGTGAAACCCAGTGGGAGGGACTTAGGCCTTCTAGCTTCTAGACACCCAGTGGGTGACTTGACAAGTATTAGAGGACGACTTCCTGTGACTGGCAGAGCAGGGAAAGAGGGAGAGGCGTGTTTAGAGGGGCGGTATGAAGGGAGCAGCTGGGCACAGGCAGGGCTGAGCATCCCTTCTGGAAAACTGTGGCTGACGCGTCTAAGGGCCCTGCTGCTCCCAGCAGCACTTTGTAAACATGAGACATCGCCGTCCAGTGTTTCCAGAGGTGAGGGGTCCAGACCCCGACCCGACGCCACTCCATCCCATCAAAGCTGCACCTCAGATGGCACCTGCCCCACCCAGGCCTTCTCTGGGCGGTCGGCTGGCTGGGAGGGGACAATAGGCCCCAACGTGACAGTCCCCACATTCTGCAGACTTGACAGGGAGGTCCTCTGCATTCTGACTGGGCTCCTGGGGCTCAGCCTGGCCTTGCCCTGAGGCTGCAGGAGGAATAACCACGCAGAAGGGCTGCCTGCTGCTGTCACTGATGCCTCACGTGATCAGAGACCTTTCAGTCCTGCAAGGATTGTGCAGCCCGAGTGTCTTTGTTCCTTCACATCCCCTCCTTGTCTCTGCTGGTCCTGCCACAGAAGCGAGGGCAGCCTCTCCCTCCTCCCCTTTCACCCTCCCCTTACTCCACCTACTTCCACTTCTTATGGTACATTTCAGCAGCATTTACCTGAATCTGCTTCTCTACCCTCACAGTCGCTCCAAGGGTTGCCCCCAGATTGCTGCTCCTTTGAAAGGTTGCTTCTGTTGCTCCCCCATTCCACTCCGTTCTCTCATGAGCTTCTCTTGCTTTCCTGGGTTTGCGTTTTCATTTTCCTTCCCATGTCTGCAAAGGCAGGATATAGAGGAAGGCCAGCAGAGGGCAAGAGCACCCGAGCTGCAGCGGGAGACAGATGAGCATTCTGGGATTTGCCACTGATGTGTGACCTTGGGCGAACCGTATGGACTGTTCTCTGGGCATCAGTTTTCTCATCGGTGCATGGGGTTGGGTCACCCATGCCAGAACCACGTGCTGTGCCAGTACTGGTGCCATGAGCAATGCAAAGAATAAGATTCTGTCCTGGCTCTTACAAACCTACTGGCTCACAATATGTTTGTGTTCTCTCTGATACAGAGATTAGATAGATAGATGAAGACAATTAATGGGGAATAAACTGTTGGGACAAAAGAATAATCTTATAGACCACAGCACCCAGTAAAAGCCCTACAGAGAAACAGTCACAGTCATTCTTTCCCTGCTATTAGTTCAGTTGCGTTTTGTGATCAGGTATAACTCTCCACCCCCCTTTTCACAATTGAGTGAAATAAGGAACTACCTTAGAGCTGGTTTTCCTTTGCTGCTGCAGCGGTCCACACAACTGCTGGTTCCTGTTCGCGGTGAAAACGGCCCTAACCAAGTGAATGAAGGGCACAGAGCAGCTTCAGCCAGACTGTTCCTAAGCGCCCAGCCCTCAACGTTGCTCATGCCTGCCCCCTGAACTCCCAAGCACCCCTCACTAGGCAAGGGATATTCCCTCCACGTTCTCGCTCCTTCTATTCAGCACTCCTTCACCCCCCACAGTTTTTAAAAAGTGTGGCTGACTGGTCTAAGACCTATGCTGCCTCACAGTATTTTGTGAGTCCAAGAAGCACTAAGAATGTAAAGGATAGGACCCTATCAACAAGACTTCCGACAAAACCATGTCCAGCACCAGCGTGGTAAGTTGCTTTTTAAAAATGTTTTAACTATCAGGAAAGATGGAAGCGTGGTTTGGTCCCTGGCCTGAAGCTCGGGGACCAGCGCATACTGTGCTGTTGGATCCTGGGAGACGTCTCAGCATCCCCAGGCGGCTGCAGGGCCGCACAGGCCGGTGTGGCCTGGGCCTCGGAAAGCCAGCCCTCCGCCACGGCCCCGCTCCGCAGGCCGCCGGGCTGCCTCAGTTAGCACACAGCACAGACCTTCCTTTGCTCAGAGTCGACGTGACATGCTTTGTTCCCTTTTGGCTGCGTCAGTTCTGCAAACCAGATACCAGAGACTACAAGCTCAGGAGAGCCTGTCTTTCTGGAACACCGTTTGTTTGGACAGGCCGGCCTGTAAGGCTTTTCATCTCTTTAAAGCTCCCAGGGCAGAGAGCATTTTTGAGGAATTCCTTTTTTCAAAGTTCATTTTTTTTTTTTTTTTTTTTTTTTACCCCTTCCAACATTTTGTTTAAGAGAAAATGAGATGTCTATCTTCTGTTTCCTTATTTTTTTTCAGGAAAGCAAAGGGTTGTTGACTTCCTCCCTCTCCCCTCCCTTCCTTCCTTCTTCCCGAAGGTACTCATCTGAGAAAAAGAGAACGAAGTATTGTTCCTGTTCTCTTTCTTAAGTCATTTGAAACACTGTCCCTGCGAGTTCTTTAAGTTCCCTGCAATCTGTACACGAGAAAGAGGGAGAGAGAGGGAGAGGCACAGAGAGATCCAGGGACCAGGTAAAGCCCTGGGGCTGCAGCCATTCAGACTGAGGAGCTGGTAAGTTACCCATGCAATCGCTTCTACCTCCGTCTCCACGTCCCTGGGATGGATACTGCCGTGGGCATCGCAACAGAAAACGCCTTACTGGGTGTGATCCTTAACCAAAGGGTACGACTGATGGACGGCCCCGAGTTTAAGCTTCTACTTTAAAAAGGAGAATAATGATGCACTGCAGGGCTGAGGCTGGCTGGCTGGAACCAGAGCTGTACTGGGGCGAGGACATGGGTGCAATCTGAATGTTGGCACAGAGAAGGTGGCTGCGTGCACCGGGAGCCTCTGGGGCGTGTGGCGTGTCACCGGAGCACTCAACTGCTCCTCAGCGCTCTGTCTTGGGAGCCTTATCACGGTGTCTGCTAAGAATTGTGGTTTGCTCTTGGGCTTTTGTTACCCGTTGTCTAGATTGAGGGGCTCTTCTCTTGTTCTTTTCTTTCCACTCAGCACCCTCCAAAAGAGAAATGATAATTTATGACTGTTATCCTGCATCACTGAAGGAGGAGGGGGGAAAAGACGGGGATGTCACTTTGAATTGTACTGTGTGTGGGGTGCGTCTGTGTTCAGGCTCCGCATGGGATTGAGTGTAGATTTATTATCCACTGTCAATCGAAGATGTCATCTGCCACCCAAAGGAAGACAAGTTGCTTAGTTTGGGAAAACAACAGGTAACTGGAATAGGAGGGTTGAGATTCATCGCTTGTGTCAGCAGCTGTGAAAAACTAAGCTCTGGATGTAATTGGAAAATATTCACCCAGAGCCTGGTTTTCCAAACACCAACTAGGACACAGTCAAGCTTAAAAACATGCAGCTTGTGTTTAAAAGTCTAAATGGTTTCAATTAAGTTTGTCAGAAAGGATAATGCTACCAAGAACTCATCATGGAAAGCCACTAGGGAGGCAAGATCACGTTGTCAGAAATGGGCCATCAAGGTCCCTCGGAAAGACTGTGTGAATGTACTAATATTAATCATTTAATTCAAGGAGATATCGAATGGGTGAAAGACGAAAACCATTCAGAGGGTTTTTTTTTAATACTTGTTTCTATGAAATTTACTGGTTGAAGTCACCTGGGGTGTGAAGAGTATCATAAAAATAGCCAGTCTCATTTATAAATTAATTTGGCCAGATAATACAGTAACCACAATCAAGTAATTAATCTTTATTCAAAACTGAGCCCTCATCTTAATAAGAGTGAGAGACTATGGTAGAAATAGGCTGGTATACAGGTTTTGTTCCATGAGCAGCAGACTTTTTCCTTCTCCTTTTTCCAAGAGATTTTCTTTAGGAGCACTGTGAAATGAGCAACATTAGAGAGAGGTGGTTGGCGTTTGCCTGCTTGAGGATACAACATCATTCGCATCACAGTTAAAGTGGTGTCCAGCTCCCGTACCACCTACCCTGGTCACTTATTTCAGAGGTCTTCTGGCCAAAGGTAGCAGGAACTGACTGAATCGGGCACTTTGCATCTTTTATTAGCAATTGTGACCCCAGTTGAAAACTCAGGGCTGCGACCTTGACTTGCTTCTTTCAGTTTCGCTTTTTCTTGATAATATATTTAATTTTGTGCCCAATTAAAACAGCATCATAGAATGCTCTCCAGTTTGGGTTATTGGATAGAAACACAAAATGCAGCACCATGGTTTTTAAAAAAGACAGCAGAGCCGCACGGAGTGCAGACAGTGAGGCGAAAGGTGACCGCCAGTGGCACACGGACAGCCCGCTCCAGCCGGGTCTTCACGGGGCCGGGGGGAAGGAGCTGGGTGTGTTCTTTTCTTTTAAAGAAAAAATATATATATAGTTCCATTTAAGTTGTTAAGTCATTGCCATGAGGATATTTGATGGGGCAAAAAATGTCAGCTATCCAAACTAAAAAGCCATTGACTAGTTTAGTCTGGTCAGTACCAATCTGTCCTCACTCCATTCCAAGGCGTGAGCTGGTGTTCGTGGAAACTTCCAGTGTGTGATTATTCTTTGGGGTCATCGGAGGCTCTCTGTGATATCATTAGGGGAACTCCAGCTTGGAATGATCCAGGATTTGACAAACAGCACATTTCATGAATGAATCTGTGCCCAAACTGTATACATACTGTAAATGATAAATGCGTTGTATGAACTCTGTGTTAGGATGTGTCCTAATGTCTGTCTGCTGGGATGTGACTCAGCATCTAAAGCACAGGCTTTGTTGTTACACAAATGTGAGTTTGAAGTCCACTTTTGTGACTTACTGACTGTGGGCTTTATTCCAGGTAATTAACCTCTTTAAGCTTCAGTTTTTCCAAATGTAAAATTGTGTCAACATAGTAGACTCCTTGTGAAGATTAAATAAGAGTATCTATGCAACTCAATCGACACAATGTGTGGCAATAGTAGGAGTCAATCAATGTGTGTTCGAATTTTTTTAAAGTCATATTAATACTTAAGGGTACTGTAGTTTTTTAATGTAGGGAATAGAATACATATCTTATAATTTTTTTTTTTTTTTGGTACGTGCCCCTAGCGGGAACCGAACCCAGGACTCTCTGGTCCGCAGGCCGACGCTCCAACCATTGAGCCAAACCGGCCAGGGCTGTGTTATAATTCTTTATCAATACTATACCAAGGGTCTATCAGAACAAAATTATTTCTCACAGCTTTCGAGTTGGGCACACATTGAGTGAAGATATTCTAGCCCCAAATTCTTGTAAAATAAAGGAAGGCAGAGACGAATGTTTTGATGCTCATCTCCAATAATGGCAGAAATGCCACATTTAGCCTCATCAAGATGCCAGCTGTGCTCAGTAGTGCTCTGTGCAGGGGAAAGTTTGCCTAGGGATAAAGTTTTCAATTTAGATGAATGTTCAAAGAGATTGCAATCAAACTGTGGACAGGGCATGCTCCCTGTCACCCAAGCTCTTGAGCTCTATGTCATTGGAGACCTTTCCCCGGGCCGTGGAGGGCTGGAAACACTTGTTGGAGACCATCGTGGCAGTTCCATGACAACCAGAGAGAAAAGGACTTGAAGTACTATGTTCTCCCGCCTACCAAGGGCTAAGCGCACTCGGGGGTCTGCTCCTCCAGCATTTCAGAATCGAGCACTTACCTTCACACCGATAAACAGAACACCATTGTCACCAGAGTGGGTGTGTGGGTGGGGAAGGGGGGTTGATCCAGCGCTATTTTTCTCTCACTCTAAACTTTAAAACATACATGCTGGTTAATTGGTCAAGTAATAATGGTACTTTAACTTAGGTCTTAAACTTCCCTCTCCACTTTCCAAAAGCCAAACACACAACTACAATAACCACCAAAAATCGACCACCAATAACCCATGCGATTCTTTAGTTAGAATAAGAGGCTCTGATACAACAGAGACTTGTTTGGACAACTCAACCTTTGGAGAGCAAACTGCAGCTGGGTTGTTCTATACTTATGTGCAAAAGGTGTCTTCTACTGCAGCTGAGTGCAGTACAAGGAAGACCAGACGGACTCAGAACATTTCCGTTCTGTTCTGCCGCTCCTGTGTGTGAGACTTGACAACTTTCTTTACTTGCTTGGACCTCAGTGTTTTCACCTGTGAAATGATGAGGTTGGACCAAACCAGTGATTCCTAAGGTGGGGCTGGTGTGTGTGTGTGTGTGTGTGTGTGTGTGTGTGTGTGTGAGAGAGAGAGAGAGAGAGAGAGAGAGAGAGAGAGAGAGAGAGAGACTGTGTACCAGAACTCACCTGCAGACTTCTTTACACTCTTCTCCTCTCCTGCCCACTGCACTGGAAGACTTACGAGATTCTGACGCTGAAATCCTATGATTCTCTCAAATGGATGGTCAGGGACTTGCTCTGTCTTCTTCATGGTTGCACTGACAATAAATGAAAATGTGTGTTTTGGTCCTGGCCGGTTTGGCTCAGCAGTCAATGGAGCGTCGGCCTGTAGACCAGAGAGTCCCGGGTTCGGTTTCCGCTATAGGCACGTACCAAAAAAAAAAAAAAATGTGTGTTTTAAGAATCATGCTTTTAAGTGAAATTGCTATTCAGCTTTGATGCTCTCTCTAGAAATTAGTTTTGAATATATCAATTGTTATTCTAGAAGTATTATAGAGTAAGGAATAAGTTAGTCAGTCTGGCAATCTGATGAGACTGATCAATTTCTTTACCCATATATAAGTCATAAAAAAGCAATTATTGAGATCTATAAATACTGTAATTCTGTATGAATAGCCCTTTTAATTATGCATTTCTGTATTTGTATCTTACAGTGAGCACACTTTCTCCCTTTAATCAAAGAAAATACAGATACTACATTTTTCTATTCATTTAACAAATATTGGTAGAGTCGTACTCATAAATTTCTTTTGGTTTTATTTTGTGTTTACATTTTTACAATGTGTGCTTTGCTGAGCCTATTTTAAAAGTTAGATTCTTTTCTCTAAGTTAATGGTGACATGGATGGGCAAAAGGTTGATAACGGTGTTTAAAAAACCAACTCTCAAGTCACGTTAAGTCTGCTTTAATTATAAGAAAAATCAGTAACTTATAGAAAAAGATTGTTTTGACCCTCCTGAATTTATTTCTACCTATATCACTTGATATTTTTCCTCTTGTGTTCATATGGCCAACTAAGTAAAGTACCAACAGACACAGGTCTCCCTCTGACAGGAAAAGAGAGGCAACAAATACTTTAATGTACACTTTCAAAACAGCTAGCCAAATACTAAATACTTCTGGATGGAACAGTGACATTTAGATAATAGCAATAACATGTCTTCTTCAGAAGTTACATGTAATGTATAAGGCTTAGGAGAAAGTAAGCATCATGAGACCAGGGACTTCATCTGTTCAGCCACATGCCCGGAGACTAGACTAGCACATGGCATATAGTTATAGTAGATGCACAATAAATATTTGTTGAATAGATGGTTTAATAAATAAGCAAAATAAAATAGGCTGCTTTCCTGCCAAATGCAGCAATTACTAAGTAAAACAGTCAGACTTTTTTGGGTTTGAACAATGCCAAACGACAAGCCTGACATT